TTCTCAGTCCACCATCTCTTCTCTCCCTCTCACTTCTGACTTCACTGCATCTGCAGACTATGAGAGAAGAGATACAGAGCTTGGTGACATTTGATCCAGACTCGACTTTCAGGGGTTCAGACATGGCAGCGAGGGACTATTTGGGATTGGTGACCAAGACTTGGTGTTAACGACATTCCCATCTTCCTCCCTCCTCTCGTCTGATCCTTATCTCTTCGTCTGTGTATGTCTGGACCTGGCGCTTTCTTCCTGTGTGTAGCGCCAGGCTCCTTCACACTTGGTGATGGATACAATGCATGTTTAGTCTGAGTTCAAACATTGATTGGGCTAGTAGCAGTGCTCTAGTGTTCTGCTTCGTTACTCTGAACTACGTGAATGGGGTCAGTCCTGTCAGGTCAGTCTTTGTATCAAAGTCTTCCCTGCGCTATTCAGCACCTTTTGTATGTATGAGAATGCACATTGTCTGTCGAGATTCTACTCGCACTGTATTGTCCATTCAGTCCTTTTCATCACATTGCAGTTCCTCAGTTAGTAAGTACATTGCATAGCGGTGCATGTAACAGTGTGTGTGTGTGTGTGTCAGAGTCAGAGTCAGGTACGACAATCCAATGTTCCAAGCGGTATGGAAGTAAGTGGATCCACAAAAGACAGCTCTGACCTGGTAGCTAGGGTGTGTCAGCTCAGCTTGTTTAGTGAGCTACCGGGGAGACCGAGGTTATTGTTGGCTTGCCCATTTGTTGATCCTTCCTACAAGGTGCAGCCCTTTTTCAGCCAATGAACTGGTCCACATGTCAAGCTGCCATTTGCTTCGATCGCCCCTGGAATGTAAGAGTTTCTGCTGTTCGGTTTGTGTTGCTTGTGTGTGAGAATACTGTGCGTGTGACACTGCAAAAAGTGTGTAAGAGAGAGAGAGAGAGAGAGAGAGAGAGAGAGAGAGAGAGAGAGAGAGAGAGAGAGAGAGAGAGAGAGAGAGAGAGAGAGAGACATCCCCCAAGAACAGTGGTCCCCTATGGTCCCCCCAGTGGCACCACCCGTCAACCCTACCCTACCACCTGCGACTCAAGGTAGAACACATCCCTTGTGTGCGCTTCCTTCCCACAACTTGAAGGATCCTCACCGCCCTGCATGATGATGCCTTCGCAGAGCGATGGTCCCCTACTCGAGCCCCTACTCCAAAGAAAGCCCTACTCCCCTCATTGGTTTTCCACTGGGCCGTGCTCCCCCTGACAACCCCCTAGTATGATGTCTGTGTATCTGCACTGCACTACACTGGTGGGGTAAGTACGTGGGGTGCCAGCCTACTAAGACCAACTGAGCATGTTCAGGAGAGGATAAGAGTGACTGGTATCGAACCTGCAACCTCGCTGGTCGTACTGTTCAGCATCTATTTTCCTTGCAAAGTGCAGTCCCTTCATTGTGAGGTAGGTATGCTTGCAGGGGTCCCCTCTGTACAGCCTTAGGAGTAGTGGTAGGTAGGTAGTGAAAGGCAAAAAGAAATTGAGAGAAGAATAGAGTGTAGTTAAAAAAAAAAAGAAAAAAAAAAGTAGCTATTTTCTAAGATCCCCTCATTGATCCTTCTTTTTTTTTTTTTTTTTTTTTTTTTTTTTTTTTTTTTTTTTTTTTTTTTTTTTTTTTTTTTTTTTTTTTTTTTTTTTTTTTTTTTTTTTTTTTTTTTTTTTTTTTGGGTTGATCTTCCCCTTTCTTTCTATCTCTTTCTTTGGGTTGTGCTCCACTGCAGTAGTTGCCGGCTCCACTGCAGTAGTTGCGGGCTCCACTAGCGTTTTTACATTTTTTCTCTTCTCAGGACTCCTTTTTTTTTTTTTTTAATTTTTTTTTAATTTTAAGGTCTGAGCAGGTCTGCTTAAGGGGGGGGGGGSGGGGATGTTGAAAAGAGCAGCCCTCCCTAATAGGCCTGCTGGCGGCCGCTCCATCTATTGGTGGGGAGCATCAACTGCTGCAAATCGGGTCCAGCATCCCTTGAATACATGAATACATGAGCATGATATGCGCTGAGCATCGTTGATGCCTGTAATGTCTGAGAGAAAGTGACGGTGTTTCTCATGGACTTCTCTAGCACCTGGGAATGTGAACGCACCAAGAACCATTCTTTTTTCTGGACCCGTTCAGCACCTCTTCACCTTTCTTGTGGTGCCAGATCTGCATGACAAAGCTAGACTAAATGCTGTGTTTCCTGGGATATGGAGGGTGGATGGATGCTGCTATCCTGTTTGCTGCTTACATAATCTCCCTTCTTGGAGTAAACCCTTAAGCCGCTAAACCCTTTTCCCTCCCCTCAGCATCTAATACCCTTGCAGAATCCCTTCCATTTTTCCATCTTTTTTTTTTTTGATCTGAACTTCGTATACGGGAAACCTACTTAACAAGGTGATAAGAGCATCCCTGGTAAGTAGGCCCCGTCGCCGAAGGCTCCATCTATTGGTGGGGAGCTACACCTGCTGGAAATCGGGTCCAGCGTCCCTGTACAATGATGAAAATGTATGTGCTGGAAATCAGGTCCAGCGTCCGTGTGCAATAGTGTGAATATGTGTGCTGGAAAACGGGTCCAGCGTCCCTGTCCATCTAGTCTATAGAGTCTCCGAAACAAAATGAGGCATCAATCCAATCAACCCAATCAACCCAATCAAAGGAAACCCTAACCATGATGTGATGTGTATTACGATGAAGTGATAAGCATCTGCTGGATATCGGGTCCAGCGTCCCTATATCGTGTTGTGTAGCTATGTCCAACAGTCATAAACTTATCTATATATGTCCTTATTCTATATCTATCAGAGTCTAATCACGAAACCCTAAGCACGATATGATCGTTAATCAATCAAGCCTAAAAGCTAAGCTCTGTCAAGGATGAGAGATGTATGATCTGGACGTCAAGTCCAGTATCCAATATGCATTATCATGTGAAACTGTCAGGGGGCATCGATTACTTCCCTGCGCAGGGAAGGAATGACCTCCTGCTACCTGATCCCTAAACAGCCATCAGCCAACCAACAAGACGATCAGCCCCCCGTTGATGTATGATCTGGACGGCAAGTCCAGTATCCAATATGCATTATCATATGAAACTGCCAGGGGGCATCGATTACTTCCCTGCACAGGGAAGGAATGACCTCCTGCTACCTAAGCCCTAAACAGCCCACAGCCAACCAACAAGACGATCAACCCCCGTTGATGTATGATCTGGACATGAAGTCCAGTATCCAATATACATTATCATCTGAAACTGTCAGGGGGCATCGATTACTTCCTTGCGCAGGGAAGGAATGACCTCCTGCTACCTAATCCCTAAACAGCCCACAGCCAACCAACAAGACGATCAGCCCCCCGTTGATGATTGGTATTGCACGCCGGGCAACATCAATCACCCCCAGCTATCCTACTCCTATCCTCTGCCAAACCACAAGGAAGAACTCTGTATCGAGGTTGGAGGGAGGGAAAGCAGTAAACCGCTTCTCTATAACAACCCCATATCCCGCCACGTTCGCTTGCAGCATCGCTCCCATCACGCTGATGATAATCTCAGATGCCCGGATGCCGCTTCCTATCCCGCTGCTCCCTTGGCCGTCGCCACCGCCATCGCCGTCATCGTCGTAGTCGTCGTTGTTGTTGTTGTTGTTGTTGTTGTTGTTGTTGTTGTTGTTGTTGTTGTTGTTGTTGTTGTCGTCGTCGTCGTTGTCACTACTGTTGAGAGGGGGGGAGATAGCAAACCCCTTTTCCGTACCAACCTCAATCTCCCCTTCGCCCACTTGCGGCATCTCCCCCATCATGTTGATGGTGATCGCATCTGCACGGGCACCGCTGTCAACCCCGCTGCTTCTGAAGTCGTCACTGCCGTCGTCGTTGTCGTTGCTGTTGATATTATCGTTGTTGTTGTTGTTGTTGTTGTTGTTGTTGTTGTTGTTGTTGTTGTTGCTGTCGTTGTTGTTGTTGTTGTTGATGTTGATGTTTTCGCCACTGTTGTTGTTGTTTGTGTTATCGTCGCTGTTAGCATTGTTGCTGTTGTTGTTGTTGCACCCATTTATTGATGTTGTTGATGGTCTTGATGTTAACGTTGTTGCCTCTATCGCCACTTGCGCGTCCTCACAATCGATAACGCCCTCCAACCGGTCTTCCAGAAGAGCATACAAATCGCGACCCTCATTACAGAGGGTTTTGCAGACAGACATGATGCCATCTGCCCTCCTCCAATCGATGCAGACATCAAGCCGAGGATCCGGCCCCTCCTCCAGCTCCCAGATGATCTCCAGCATATCCTCACTTTTCTCCTTCAGCCAACCAGCCAGAGAGATCGCTCCCCCTTCGACCTCTGGCTCCATTTGCAGCCGTAAAGACATGTCCCTCACAATCTCGTGTAGACCGCCATCTACGTCCGTTCTCCAAGGTAATCAGCCATTCGTTTGCTCCAATATGTAGCTCCCTCTCCAAAATCACCTCCATGGCAAAGAATCGCGCCGCTTTTGTGCAATAACCTCCAATCAATCACGGCTGGCGCTACCCCTGATCACGCGTCGCGAGGCGTCCACGTCACCAAACGACAGGTGGCACGTGGCAGGCTGAAAGCCACGGCCACGTGTCGGGCGCGTGAACAGGCCCAGCGGCCTGGAGGGGCCCACCTCTCCAGCACGCTGGTCAAGCCGGGTGCGGCCGGACCTCGCCGGTCAGCCGGCGTTAGGGCGCTAGCGCTAGCGCGGTTTTCACCACATCCTGGCATCGAACAGCCCTGCCACTTGCGTGCCTTACCTGAGGGCTTTCTCCCGTACCATTCCATTCCTACCAGGCAGTTTCATGGGGGGGGGGGAAGAAGTCGGGGAATTCTTCGCTAGGTTTCATCGGGATAGCAGTGTCCATCTTTGTCCACTCGTGAAAAAGTAGCAGGTAGTCCCTTACTAATTCCATTCTCCCTTGGCCCTCCCGGGACTTAGCCTACATTCACTGAAGAATCCCTTGCATTTACTGAAACCCCAGTTCTGCTCTGTTCTCCGCGATTGGGTGCTGATTCTGGGGAAGCCTGTGTCCGATGGTATTGTTTTCCAAGAATTCCCCTAAAAACGGTTCAATGCATCAAGCCACAAATATGACCTTTTTTTTTTTTTTTTTTTTTTTTTTGAACTCGTCAGTTGGGATGGTGATACGAGCCCCAACCACTAGCAGGCCACCTGCTGGCTCCAATCTATTGGTGGGGAGCTGCACCTGGTGGAAAACGGGTCCAGCATCCCTTATACATAGTCTTTTCAGAAAAAGTATGAGAAATTGCGAACTTGAATGTGTTAGAAGTTAGAACCTGAGGTGAGATATGTTCGACCCCGAACGGGCAGTGGTTGTGATAGGGCATAGGAGGAAAACTTTGCGGAGCACCTTGAAACCTGCCACGTCACAGGCTGACGTGGCGCTGGTTCCTGACACGTGGTCTTCTCAAGTGACACGTGTCCCGCGTTTTTTGCGTTAGGGCGATTGCCACTACAACTGGCGATACCAATTGCCCCTCCGTGGCAGCAAAGGCTACGGTAGCAGGCGCGAAGCGGAGATCTGCTTAGCAAAGACGAAGGGTGGGCGGAGAAACGTGGACGACAGGTTCCCGGGTAATCATTCTCTTCCGCTACGAACGTCAAGACAATCAACTCCTAGTGGACGCGCGATGTACGAGAGAAAAGTGCGATGTAATCAGGATCAAGCTACATGAAAGAGTGTGCAGCGGCAAAACAACACTAACAGGTAAGAAGCGGGGATGAGGGAATAATAATAATAAAAAAAAAGGGAGATACGAATAGGGCCACGTGGGAGGCGACGGAACCCCACACGTGAGGAGAAGGAAGGAGGGCAATCGGGGCAAGAGGAGCTGGGAGAAAAGCCCCGAAAGAGCACGACACGTGACAGGGACCACGTCGCAAGGGCCAACGGACGTGCCGGCCAGCGAATGGAGCGGGAGAGGTAGGAGAAACGGAGTGGCGACGAGGCGGGAAACAATTGCAGAGGAGAAATGGTATGCAGAAAAAACGGGCAAGGGCGGTGAGAGATCGTAAGAAAAAGGATACGGGGAGGGCTGCGCGTGCAGCAGTAGGAAGCCACACGAAAGGAGAAGGAAGGGGAGGAATCGGGGCAGGAGAAAAGTGTGCGAGAGGTGGCAGGGCGAATAGATCAGCGGTGTGGCGATGAGGCAGTAAACGCTTGCAGCGGGGAAGCGGTGGGACAACTGAAAACGACATAGTATGATAAGAAGACAAGAAGGCAACGAGGGAGATCGGAGACAGGTGTGTGAAGACCAGGGAGTACGCAAGCGGTCAAGACGCGTGATTGGTATTCACTCCTCTGCCACTCCCTCAGCCACTCCCTGTGTGAACTGCCCCCCGGTTGTACAGCTCCCAGCCATTTGCAAAACCAGAAACAACATCATAAACCCAAAGTAAATCAGCAAATAAATAGCCACGAGCACTCAGTTTGATACAGAAGCCCAAAAAGGAAAAAACGAGGAAAAATTAACAACATCACAATCCTATTGAGAGAGGGGACGGAATGGCTAGACTGTTGCCAAAGAAGCCGGAAAAATGCGTCATCCATGGTCCTGTTCAGAGGTGCAAGCGATGGAAGTATTAGCCAACCCCCCCAAGCACAGCCACAAAAGTAAGTGTCCTAATCAAGAGGACCAACCAATGGGAGAGGCACCGCCTCAACCCGGCACACCGGATGGGTTACTGGAAAAGGAGGAAAGAGGGGCAGAACCAAGCCCTCAGGAAATTGAGCAAGCGAAGGGAAAGGAAACAACTCATGGAGGGGAAGCGACACAACTAAGCACAATGAACCCCGGGATAGGGGGAGAGGGGGCACAGTCATCGTGGGCTGACAAGCTGAAGGGGCCTTACCAGAATAAGACCCTGCAAATTCAGAGAAGCAACCCGTAGTCGAGTACACTCCATCTCCCTCTGGCAGGACTCTCTCTGGCCCGGGCATTCTTCCTTGCACGTTTCCTGACTCCATCAGAACAGAAGATGGTGGATCACGGTGGAAAGAAAATACAAGTAAAATCATACCCGCAGCAAAAACTTGCGGAACGAGACTCCACATATCAGAGGCATGCATGCAACTGGGTGTTCCACGACGACGCGGCCTACAAACCCACCAACAAAAAGATTAAATGGATCGGAAAGAGACTTGCCGCCCTCAAAGGTTGCCAAGAAGCGGCACATGACGATTTCCTGATTCAACCAGTCTTCGCCACCATCTTCACAGTCCTCTGCCTCCAGGAAAAAGACAAGACAAGCATTGACGGATGGAAGAAATTACGGTGTGACCGGTCTGAAGTGCGGATTTACCCTTGGACCCCCCTAAAACAAGGTCCGGAGGAGAAAAGAGCACAGATGATGGAGGACCACTAAGAGTTCAGACACATCCCCATCGAGATCCAGGCGGGCTTCATCCAAGACCTGGGTGATCAGTTTGACATAGTCGATTTTATTGACCCTCTCCCCTCCTATGTGCAGAGGAGAGACGACTATCTCATGCTGGCACTGGACTTTCTGTCCTCCCAGCCCTTTGCCATAGACGACATAATTCTATACAGAGTAGGAGGGAAAGAATGCAGGATTCACACTGCTCACAAACACAAACCCTAGTGCTTCTGCTGCAAAGCGTACAGACACCTGTGTACAGACCTGTCCTGCCCCAACAATTCGGGCAAACAAAACAGAGTGACCAGAAGATTACTAAGAGACCCCTTTCGGGGCAATCTTTGGAGGATTGTAGACCAGGGTCATGAAGGATGGGTCTACGTAGAAGGGAAGGGCGGGAACGAGAAGGCCATGGGGTGGAGATGGATAAAGACAGGAGAGCCAAACTGGGAGACTAAGCCCCCAGACACATGGACTCCTCCGGAGACGGAGGGTCTAGACTACCGACAGGAGCTGGAAGGAAAGCAGGTTCAGCAAGAGGCAAGCTCCTCAGGCGCCTCAGGCCCCCGCACCGATGACGCACGTTCAGTCCCCGTAGTCTCCACACAAACTGCACAACAGTTGCAGCACCCCCCCCCGCTGGAAGGCAGCACGGGAGGAGCAATCACAAACGTTCCCGCGCACGTGCAGGCACAGGCACATGCGCAAGGCCACCAACCACACCTGGAATGGCGAGTCAAAGCGTCTCTCCAACATCAGTCCCAAGAGGGGTCCTATCCCCTACCAGGGCCATCCCCGCTGGAGTATTTGCGCCACGAGACTGGGGAAGGCACAGGGGGAGAGAATACAATCGTGATGGAAAGGACAACCCTGGGCACGAGGAATAAAACGCAAAATGAAAAGCAGAAATTGCTCAAGGAAGGGAAAAAAAAAGAGAGAGAAAAGGAGGGACAATCACTCAGCCAGGAAATGGTTCAATAGACGTAGCAAACGCAGCAGCAAGCACAGCAAACGAGGCAAACGCAACAAGCTCAGAATGTAGGGGGGGGAGGGGAGGAACTCCGTCAACACACACAGCAAACAAAAAATCACGAGGGGAGTGGGGAGGAGCCCTGCAACCTGGACCCCTTCAAGGAGGCCTTTGGCCCCACCCCGATGGAGGTGGGCCCATCCCCCCTCCCCCCCTCCCCCCCACCAGAAATAATTATGGAGGAGGCACAGGCACAGGCACAAAGCGACACGAATGACAGTGACAGCAATGATGCACAACAGACCCAACATATTCCGATAGAACAAAAACTGATCCAGCTTGTTGATTGGCTCTTAAGTAGTCTGAAAGACAAGTACGGCCCTGAATCTGACGAGTTTTGGGACGCAACTTACCTGAGTATTTTTGCCATCATCGATGGAAGCCCCAGCCTCAAGAGGGTGATGGTGGAAGGCCTCCCACCAGATCTGCATTGGCCCGAGGTGGGTTCTCGAGTCTTGCATATAGTGACCGAATTAATACAGCTCCCTCACCAACAGACAAAGGAACAACAAGAAAGAGCAGAGAAAGAGGAAAGCCCCCATGAGCTGCGGAGGGATGCGGAAGGCAAAAATGGATCAAAAGCAAGTACTCAGACAGGTACACAGATGGAGGAGCAGACGGTCGCCCCTAGACAGAATACGGCCCCTGGAGAACAAGAGCCTCAGGGCAAGAGTGTACCCAGTAGCAGTCCCCCCCCGGGAGTCCCGGATGAACCAGATCCAGGCACAGGTCGTCAGCGAGAGAAAGAGTTGGTCAAAGAATACCGCCTGAGACAATGCCTGGAACAAGTGGAAGGTGTAAAGGAGATGAGGGGAGAAGGAGTGCCTCCCATTCCGGTACGAAAGAAAAGGGACACGTGGGAGGTAGGCCTGTCCCCAACGGACAAGGGCCAACAGGGAGGGGCCACTTTGAAAGGCTGATCTTCTTACAAAACTATGATAAAGAAGGAGAAAAGGTGCTACAGCAGGACATGGACAGATTTGTAGAAACACAATACGAACCGGGAGTAGAAGCCAAATGGATAGCCGAAAATGGAATCGCACATATGGCACGGAGAGTGGCCTTTGTCAGGTTTAGTGAGCGAA